CAGGGTCTCAGGCAGAAAGGTGTCATCCCTCAATGCCCAATTGAGATCCATTTTCTGTTTAGTATTTTTAACCTTCTCCTTCTGTTTAGTTCCTGCTCTGCCACTTAATGTAATGCCTGTTTATTGCAGACTGCTTTTAGTTTGGTCCTTTTAAAAGCTCCCTGAGGCACGATGATGCCTAGAAATTAATGTATTCCCTGCCTGCACATCAAGCAGATGTGTGTATATTGAGTTAGTGTCTCTAGTGTTTAGCTAATTTCTTTTCAGAGCATAGTTGAATCACTGCTACATACCAAACCCATTTGTGGCCTTTCCTCAAACTATTGGGCTAGGTAGATTTATGTACACAGTATTTTTAGCTTGAACTGCAAAGCACTTGTGTGACTTGCAGATTTTTATAGGATCACTAGTCCTAAATATGCTACAGTACTGGGCAGCAGTGCTCCAGGTGCTGAATGTGGCTGAATTCAACAGGAGTGTGCATAAGGCAGCCTTTGCATTCTGAGACCTTGAAGGGGTTTTCTCTGTCATCTTTGCCCACCCATCTTTTTCTCACTGGCTGGAATGGAAGTCATCTTTGAAAAGATTATTGCTGGTTGAAAAGCTGAGGACTTTGGTTAAGCATCCTTGCCGAGGGACTAACATGTATTCCAGCTAACTGTACAGCCAGGTTAGGGTAACTCCTCTTTCTCCTTCTCTAAGTGAAAGAAAATACTCTCCTAACGTTTACACTACACAAAGCCATGATTGTTACTTCTAAACTGTGGTTGAGGACACTCATTTTACCTGTAAATGGCGATGCCTTATTTTCCATCAGAAAATGGAAGTCTCTCTCCACGTATCTGCAGATCTTCTTTGCATCAGATCCCCTTTTGCTGAGGCAGTCAGCAGAAGTAACTCTTTGGAAGAGCATTAGTCATGTCCTACTCCTCCAGCCTCACCATAAAGCAAAGTGCCATCATATGCAGAACTGAAAATGCCAGCTTCAGGTTGCACTGTGTTTATCAAGGTAAGACATCACAAGCATGATTTCCTAGAAATCCCCCCAGCCCCTTGTGGTAGACAAAGTACCCTTTCCCACTGTACCAAAAAGACTCAGCTGTTCAAGTAAAGTCTTTTAAAAAATATAGATTTATTTTAAGCACATGAAACATAAGGATAGGCACAATTATAAACAGAGAAAGATTAAACATGGCAGTGAGCTTATGGTCAGATAATGCAAGCAATACTTAGAGGCAGAGGTTATCATTTCACATATGAAAACCTGCTGAAAACTGGTTATTATTGGTACTAGACACTCTAGGCTTTGCTCATCTCTGTTTTAATTTGAAAATATCTTGTCATTTCATACCTTCCAAATTTTTATTTAGAACTATTTGCATAACTACCTATATATTTTAAATACTGTATAAAGTGCATTCAGATGAAGGACGGAAAAAGGTAAAGGTCCAATTTCCAGTGCACTAGAGAGGACTGAGGCAAAACGTACTCAAATCATTGACTGGAAAGAGCTTGGTTTTGAACCAAACCCTAAGAACACACTGAGTAATGGCACAGTAATGCAAACATGGTTTCTAGGAGACAACTTTAGAGTAGATACTAAGTACTAGAACTATGGCTTGACAGCATATTTGGCTTTTAAATTTTGCAGAGCAAGGTCACATTCCTCTCTTAATAATTGCTAGAATAAAAAATATGCTGGAGTTTGAAATGTCCCTCCTACTGTGATCCTGAACAGTTGTTACTGTAAACAACATTCTATTTATTTTGAAATAGTCCATTAATTCTTAGGTCTTACTGTCTGCATTTTCCTGTAGACTGAGCTGCTATCTTGAATTCCAATTAGTTTCATTCCAATTAGCCATTTCCACCTTTACCTAGCCTTTAAGCCTAAAGTTGTTTCTGCTAACATCAGTGAATCAGCATGTCTAGTTCAGAAGCTTAAGTTTGCTTGTTCACAAGTATTTAAGGGAAATCTAAGGACAGCCAAAACCCATCAGCTTCAGCTCTCAGCTTCCTGTAACTCATTTGTGTGTCTCAGAAACTTGAGAAAGGCTAATGGATATTGCAAATTAAAACACTGGCATAATTTTTTTCCCTTAAGTCATACTGGGTACGTAGAGAAATTGAGCAGCACCAAAAATTCCACTTGTTTTTAGACAAGTGGACTCCTCAGTCTCCATTCTGAGAGGCCACTGCAGTGCTGGAGCTTCTTACCCCCCTTAGCACAGCTGTTACTTTTGTGGAAGCATGAACTTGGAAGACACTGAACAACATTGCCAGTGCTGTAATATGGACATTAAGGACAGAACAGTAGTTTTTCCCTTACACTCAAACAGGAATAACTCCTCCTGATAGGAAAGTAAAAAAAGAAACTTTTTTTTAAAATTGTAACTTCCATCTCTATTTTACATCAATTGTGCTTATGAACAGCTAGGGAAAAAATCTTGTAGAATTCAAAAGCTGAATTCCTTAACTGTTCTCAGTCATCCTTTTTGTCAGAGGTACTCGAGCTATCCTCTTCATTGCCTTCAGGACAGACTTTATTTCTTGCAGCTGGTGTTATTTCTGAGACCAGGGATGTGCTCCTGACTGGGCTGTGTTTGCCTTCGAGTGACTCACTGTCCTGCTCATCCGACAGATCTACCTGGTGTCTCTGTAGATCTAGGTATGTAGTAAACAATGAGGCATATTCTGGATGCTTGAGTGCAAAATTCTTGAACTCATCTGAAAAACATTTAAAAAATAGATCCTATAGTGTAGAATCAAAGAAAATTTCAGTGCCTGCTTCTTTTACTGAAGCTGATCTCCAGTTTGCTTCCTCTGAAGAATCTCACGAGTATCACACAAAGTATCTAGGTCTGTGCTTCAACAGTTCTCCCCAGGAACAAGGTAGGAGAACCATCAGAGAATTTCAGGGAGGAAGAAAAGGAAACTTACTGTCAGTATGACTATTGAAGTATTCTCTGTTACAAAAGGGCTTAACTTACCATAGGACAACTTCCCGGTTTCATCTGCATCTATTTCTTTAAAGAGCATGGAAACATCAAGCTCAGGTAGCCCCAGTGCTGACTGAATGATAGAAGCAAACTCCTCTTCTGTTATAGTGCCATCCTCATCCATGTCAAAGAGCTGGAAAAGACACAATGTGTACAAATACTTTAGCATCAGTTTGCCTGTGGACCTTCTGTGCACATTAGCCACCCACACTGGCTTTCTAGTATTCAAGAGGTTATCTGTAAACAATGCCTGGGATTTGAGGAGATCTGCTGCATCTCTGCTACTTTCTCTTCCAAAATATTTTATGTGTTTTCTCTGGAACAAGATTAAGTAGACACTTAGCAGAGGAATATACATGCTATAGCTGGGATTTGAACATTCTGCAAAAACAAACAAACCTCACAGCATTAGTTCAGTGATAAAACTAACACAAAACTGATAAAAAATAAGCGAAGGTTTATGTTTATGGTCACCATGAGCTATGCTAAGGCTCCACTGGATTCAGCCTCTCTATACTGGAATATCTTGGGTTTTAGTCCTCATTTTCATTAGGTTATGGCACATCCCTTATCAGATTAAACTTGCCATAGTTTATGTTCTGACGTAAAATACCTAAAATTTAGTATATGTGATTGGTCAACCACTAAGGAATTATTGCAATTAACAAGGAATTTTTGTTCCTGGAATGCAGGCAGTGGATGCACACTGATCATCCCATCCTTCCCAGCACAGTGACAGTAAGCATCTGCTATGAATCACCCCTTGAGAAACACAAGGGATGGATGGCTGTAATTCTCAAGTACTTGCTACAGGCAAACTTCCCCATTGTGAAGGAAAGCACATTTAATGGCAAAGAAAAAAAGTAGCAAAAGGAAACCCATAGTTCTATTTCAGACTGAAACAGGCTTTTACCAGCTGAACCAGTTGTTTCCTGCTGAAACTGGATATTAAAACAAATTACTAATTTTATAATCAGCACACCTGTTAAGATACTGGAGAGTATAGTCTGGAATCTGGAAAACAAAACAATGAAACAGCAATAATAGCTGCTATTCCTGCAATAATTCCTTCTTCATAGGAATCTGTACTGATAAAACATCCCTAAAAAAGCACAAATCACTTTTAACAGTTGTAGTGCTTATCTAAAAAGAAGCCACTGGATATAATGGATTGCCATAAGAATTCTAGTACTTCCCAAGTACACATCAGTGCTAAAAAGTGCCCAGTTTAAGATGAACATGACCCATATATCAATATATTACTCAATATGGTTCATAAGACCAGATTAATGAGTAAAGTAACTGAATCTGTGCCAAAGAGCTACTAAAAAAAAAGTCAAGGATGCGCAGCCTGGCTATCCCTGGTCATGTATTGCCTCCCTGTATCTGAGATGTGAAAGGAGCTATTGCACCACGTCAGGACACCATAGTACAAGCCACCAGTTCTTAGATGCACCTCAATTTTAGATGTGCCAGTCCTGAATTTTTTTTCCTTTAGTATTTTCCCTCCTCTTTGTTAAGAACAATGACTCTAGTGAGGCTTGACCCACAAGAGGATATTACTCCACCTATTGTGACATTGAAGAATCACAGCAGAAAAAAACCTCAGGCAAAAAAACCACAAGTGCTGCTGAATCATTTTTGGAGTTAGGCTGCCAAGTTACATATTCATTAGTGCCTTCACATGGCTTTTGAAACCCTTTTCTATGATGCCTGCAATTCTTCCCCTCTCCTTTACACTCTAAATGTCAATTGGTTTAAGAGTATTACTCACATTTCCATAACAGATTGAAGCTATAAACTTATGATTTGAAAGGTAACAGACTTACAGTCAGTCTTGATTTGTCAGGTTTGCAGATTTACACTAAATTGAACTTACCTTAAATGCCATCTGAATAGTCTCCTCTGTGTTGGCTGGGTTGCAAAGAATAGACAAACCAATTACATATTCTCTGAAGTCAATGGTGCCATCTCCATTCTGTAACCAAAACATGTATGGCAGCAGTTATAGTTAATACTGCAAATCCCTTTAAAAGCTGTTGTGTAAATCAAATACACAACATGCACTAATACAGTTTACAACACCAGAGGTATTTGTTCTTCCTGGAAAAAATACTAACTCACTGAATATGTAATACTAAGGCTGGAGTGGCAATATACGTATTTTCAATAGCTAGAAATTGGGTATCCATTTCCATCTTATAAACATACAAACAAAAAAACCATGAAATCAACTCAAAAGTTTTTCTTCACTGTATGACCTTCAGGAAGGCTCTAGGATGAACTGCAATACATGTGTTTAAGGTAACTCTAAGAGTGCATGTAGCACTTGCACTTGCTGAAGTTCAGAGACCAATGCAACATCTCAGAATAAACAGGCCAACAGTGAGGCTGTTGCTTTGAGTTCAAACCTTCAGCAATAACATATATGCCAGTGAAAGGACAAACAAATCTACTTGGTCTATCTTAAACTTTTCTTTGAAGCGAATGCACTGCCCTACATGCTATTTTGAAGCCAATAAACTGTCCCACCTTTTAAGCCAGAAAGGCAAGGAATTCATTGGAACAGCTTCTCTGATAATTCCGGTTTTGATGTGGATGAACATTTCAATGTGATAACTACAAAGCTACCTCAACAGAACATTTGAAGTTTGCTTTGATGGGATTTGTGAATAATTTTATGTAAGCTGCATTATATTTGCAAATAGGGAAAATGGCAGATGCCTGTTGAAATCTATGCATATGTCAGTAGTGTTCCTGTCACCACACTCAAAGTTTCATGAGTGTTTTGGGAAACATCTGTCTGAGGAAAAGCCATCTACAAGTGTTACATGGTGGGACACAGAGCAGTTAATGACAGCATAGTAGAGATGACTCATAGCTCATCATTTGGAACCTTCACAATAAGGGCATTCATCAAAAATGTTTTAAAAGCAAACTGAAGTGTAAAGCAGAGTTCCCTTTGTGGATAATGTACTGTGCACTTCAAGAGGAAAAACATTTTTTTAAAAAGTGGAGTCCCTACGTCTGAGAACAGCACAGAACTTTTTCAGCCAAGTGAGAGAGGGGTGGTCTCCTGGGTAAATCTGTAGCAAACAGCCAGATCTGGATTCTATTTCTGGCTCTCCTACCAACTTCTAATGCCCATTTGAGCATACCAACCTTAACCTTTCTGTTCTTGGTTTCCTGCTGCTGGCAGCGCAATGTGCCGGGGAGAATACTAACGCTGCTCTGTAGAGTGCTTTGAAAATCCTGGGTGCTATGAAACAGGGATTTTAGTAATTGAATTTAGCTTTTAAGATAGTTCTTGATTAACAAAATATGTGTAATAATGTGTTCAGTACTAACTTTTCATCATCAAGCTGTACATTTAACAGGATTTAAAACTGCTAAGATACAATTTTATTTAGCCTTCAAAACCAATGCAAGAGTCTTTTGCACAGACAACTGTTATTTTCTTTATACTGATGGTCTAACCAATCTTTGAAAAATCTTTAAAAATCTCTGAATTTCAAGGAAACTTTTTAGCAAAGATATGAATAAGATATGAACTTTTAAGTTACTTGCATGTGTGTCCAAGGGATATAACTTTTGACAGTTTTTAATCATTAGAAAAGGACAATGTTCTCTCATAAATGCGGTTTTATTTACAAATCTGCTGTCATTGTGGTGCAGAACTTGACTTTAAGTATTTTGGCTACATTGTAGTTTTCAGAGATAATAGATCTAACTTTAAAGTGTAACATTACAAACATAAACTTTTAAAACAACTGAAGAAAGAGTGTAAATAATAATTGTTCAAAGTTCCATAGAATATTATTTTTGGACAGTTTGGTAGAATGTGTTCTTAGCAAAGGATTGTTTGATGTGACTAGAATATTTTTTTAAAATTTATTTTTAAAGTTAAGAATATGTATCACAGGAAAAGAACAAGGAAGTAAACTTTAACTAAAATAATCTAATTAAAAACAACTTCTGAAAGAAATTAGCACAGCTGTGGCTGTACATGGAAAAACGACAAGAAAAATGACAAAATAAGGGTTATATAACTTTCATTAAAGTGCTAAAACCCAATAATCAAAACTGAGTGCAGTTTGATACACAGAACTCAGCCATTTTAGTAGGAAATAAAGTTACTACGCTTGCAAGATCATGTTGTGACTAGCTTTACTAAACCCTGGGATGCTGGCTAACTCCCAAATGCTCTGGCATTTTGGTTAAGGAGAAATGATGGGGCTGTCACTCGGCAAAAGGGATGGGAGTTAAACTGAAAACACAGGAAAACCTGCAGTGCTTGTGTAACACCACAGCAAAAAAGCACTTGCAACTGTCTTTCTACACACATCTAGTAGCTGTGTTTGCAGCCTATGTACCCAAGAATATGTTAAGGAGGTAACGTGAGCTGAGCTCCAATTCTCTAAATGGCAAAGTGGAACATCAGAATTTAGGTATTTGTATTTATGTTACATAAAATAATCAAAACATAGAGTAACCTTAACAACTCTTGTTTTTTTTTAAGCAAACTAGTTTCCTGCTACTCTTTTCTCTATAGCATGCTATAGTAACTAGGATTTTGTTGTTGTGTTTTTATATAATACAGTAAATCTAAGAAAAACAAGAAAGTTGCAATGTCATAAGCATACTTCACTTAGATCTGCACAAGGACTGCAAGACAGATACAGTATAAAGTACTATTGCATCAATACCTTTTTCTCTACTATGTAAAGCAACAGGAAAAATCAAGTGTGTTGTGTGTGTGCCTGCCATTCATGGCAGGTAAATAAATTATTAGGTAAATAAACCCTCAGTCACTTACAGGGTTACCACAGAGAAGCTAAAACTAACTGGAACCATTTGGGGAGGAACTGCAGATCTTGTGTTCATATCCAGGCTCATCATGTAAGAGGCTATTGCTATAACTCTCAAATTTCCATCACCTGTTGCTACTTGCAAGTTCTAACTAGTCAGAAAGGGAAATTCTGAAACCAACCTGGTAGGATGGTGCTCACCTGGAGGTATCACACTTTACCTCGTGCTCACTTTTCTATTACTCAGAGCCCAAATGGCACTATGTGCTTTTCCACTGGATAACTGGCAGTGGGGTGAATGCCATTAGGAAGGAAGTGACCTCTTTCATAACAGCTTGGGCCAATATGAATCTTTTTCTGTTACCCAGCTTGCTATTAAACAAAGTGCAGGAGGAAAAAAAGTCTGGGCAAAAATTGTGAGTTATTTTCTCCTAAGTTTCAAGTAAAAGGCTTCTCTAAGTAGACCAGGGAGGACTTATCATCAATCTGGAAAATACTATTTGCTAAGTGTAACTGCAAGATTTAGAAATCAAAGCTAAGGAAGTTTCCAAACAAAACCAAACCACATACTGCACTAACATGCAGATGCCCTGCAGGTATTGTGTGGTGTTTCTCAATGAGTCACCCCAGACAATTTTCATTTAAAGCAGCAGTGCCTGCTGAGAAATTTGCCTCGTGCAAGAGCTGTTTTGATCAACTGTGTAATCCTTAATTCAAAGAAATGTACCTTTGACAGTTCATGTTATTCCATTTTTTTTTCTCAAAAGTTGACATCTTAGCCAGAACTACATAACAAGCCAGAGTGGGATGCTGTACCCTGATGAAATTTAACTTGGATAGCCAGAGGTTGATTTGGGCTAGCTGTCTGCTATATCACTGCATCATTACAGCAAATTTCTCTAAATATTAATGTAGTATTTTAAGTTGTTTGCATTATAACTATACTAAAGTTTGAAGGAAAGAGAGAAAAGACTAGTTCCTAGAATTGTAGGAAGGAGAAAACTGTTGTAAAAGTAGCTTCAGACAAGCTTTCAATTTTGCCCTGGCCAGCAGGTAGAACTGACAATACAACTCAGGTTTTGCTTCAGCAGCCAAGCATGAAAAGCAGCAGTAGGAAGGAAATTAAATGATTATGTAAATTCCCCGGTCATTACAGTTATTGCAACTCTAATGTTTTTCCCTGTTAGAAATAACTACATGACTCTACCAGTGATTGCCTTCAGGCAAACAGACTTTTATTCAAGCTCAGTGACTGCTGACAAATCAGAACAGCAACATCAACACCAAATTTAGGAGCTTTTTATATAATAGTTATACTCATACACAAGCCACTTTATGGAAAGAAATAGCGAAGCTTTGATCCTTTCAATATATTCCCTCACTTTAAAAGTCCAGAGTTAGTTTTCTGAGACAGGCTTATGTCCAGTCGACAACTTACATAAACCCTTCAGTAAAGCAGACTAATGCATGCACAAGAGGAATCACAATGCTTGAAGCTGAGCCATCTACCACTAGCTCCATCTGCCTTAGAACAAGGAAAAGACTAGAGTTCTACAGCACAGGATTGTAGCCTTCCCTGTGTAGCTTCCAGACAAAGCTTGTTCTTCTCTGCTATGCCTTCAGGAATACATGGTCAGCTGCAGCCAGTCCTCAATGGTCAGCTGGATCTGTCCACTTCCATCTCGGTCCAGGGACTTGAAGGTGCGGAACATCCCGTCCAGCCGCACCAGGCAGCTGATGAAGCTGTTGAAGTCCATGGTGCCGTCCTCGGCGGCGTATCTGCGCACGATCACCTGGCGCAGTTCTTCCTTCAGGTGGAACCCTGCAGCCTTCAAGGCGTTTGGCAGCTGAGCTCTCCCAAGAGCGCCTGACTGATCAGCGTACTGCTTGTATACACACTGCCATTTCTTGATGTTGTTCCACAGGTACTTAAACTCTTCAAAGCCCAGTTTGCCGTTTGTGTCACAGTCCATGACGGCTACCATGCTACGGCACGTGTCTAAGCTGAAGCCATCTGTCTTCAAGTCTTTATGTCTGGAAACAACTTTGTTCAGGATGGCCCTCAGCTCTGTGGCACACACTTCCATGTCATCTCCAGCCAGCTGGGCAAAAAGGCGACGAAACTGTCTGATCTCCTCGCTCTCATAAGCTTCCACATTTGTAAAATGATTGCGAGGAGGTGGAGGCGGCTCTGGATTATACTGAGCTGCTGCTTCACTTATAAGATTGACAATACCTCCGACGAGTCCTCCAATATTCCCTCCATGTCCACCACCTCCTGTTAGGAGACCTCCAAGGCCACGTGCAAGGCTCCCTCCAGGACCACTGCCACTTCCTCCGCTCAGCAAAGCTTTAGCAAGGAACATCGTAAAGATTTATCGAAGGGAGTCAGAGATCCAGGGCTGGCTTCTGAAACTCTCCGAAGCTGTATCGTGTCTGACTTGGGCGTGGGCAAAACACAGCTTATCTGCATGCTTAGACTTCACCATGTCTGTGCATGTCCCTGGCTGCCAGTTAGGTTTCACTGGTTTCTGTCAGGTGATGATGTATTTCTTCTTTTCTTCTTTGCATGGTTAGCTTTATATGATTTGAGGAATCATTTTAGAGAAAGAAATGATGAGGTTGAAAGCCACGGAGCAGAAGTCTCAAAATGCCTGTGCTCATACCTGAAGCAATTCAAAAAGAGCCCTGCAACATGAGCATGACTGATCCTCAGGTACACTGATCTCCTTAAAGATGAATGCAGCCTTGCACCTGTCTGTTCTTGCAGTCTTTCATCCCTTCAACTTTTAGTGAATTGAGCATTACTTTGCTAGTTCTAGTTACTGGTGCTGTTGTGTCACATAAGGAAAATGGAGGGAGTCTTCTTTGCTCTTACTTATTCTGGTTGCCACACCACATTTCTGATGTATGTACTGTCCTTCAGGACTCCAACTATAGGCTCAAAGGAGCCAACGGTCCAAGATGAGGAGGCAAGAATGATGAAAAGATGAGGACCCAGCTCTGCTAGAGCTTCAATGCACTCAGCAATTCAGGAAATACATTTGACTCTTCCCTATTTTAGAGCTTGTAAAAACTTTCTATCTGGAAAAATCCTGTAACAGTTTTAATGGGCATTTACAACACAATGACCTGCTAAGGACAGGTGTGCTGCTAAAGCTAACTTGATCAGCAAGAGTGATGCTGAGTTGGGAAAGCTCCTACGGTAAGAGAAACCCCCCAGTTCATAAGCACTTGCAGGACAACATGCTGCTTGAACTGCAGCACATGCTGGGTGCCTAGAAGATGAATTCTGTGCCTGCTCTAGTCACTGATGCTTCTGGTATAGTCAGAAGGGCAACCACAGAGCAATTTTTGTCATCCTCAGAGAGAAGCAGAAAATGGGAGAGATTGGCACTGACCATGGGAGAAAGCCTAAATGACCACATTAATGCACGGCCCCCTTTATGGCTGGAGGAGGCCACAGGAGTTTGACTCTTTAGGCAAGAGGAGTCCCTATAAACTCTAACAGCACCCTTCACAAACACAGCAGGAACACTAGTGTTCTAGTTAACACTGTAGTTAGATTCACTCTGCCTTAAATTATCTACTTACAACTATATCAGTTAATTAAGCTGTCATAAGTACATAACTACACACATAAATACGTAAGCTCAAAATCTGGGCTAGGCAAAAAGAAATATTCAGCCATTACCAGCATGGAGATTATTGTCTGATACTGGTGCAGCAATTTGGTCCAAGAGATGGCTGCCATCTCCCAAGATACAAACTGATCACTGTTTTTCCATCAAAACTTAAAAAGGAAACTCTAAGAGTCACCTATCTTGCCTACAGGAACTGTTAACCAAGAAGCATTTACTAAGCTGGACATAATGAATTAAATATCCTTTTGGGATGTGATTTCTAACAAAATATTGTCAACAAGTCAGTTAACCAACTACTCACCCTGTCAAAGAGTAGAAACAGCTCTTTGAGGACATCTGAAACAGGCAGCTTCAAGTGGTCCGCAAACTCCTCAATTCCAATTCTTCCCCCTTTGGAAGCACTTGCAATAGCAGCAAAAGTATCCAACTGCTCTCTGACATGTTTCCATTTTAGGCTATGCAAACATGAGGGAGAGGAGATATTTCTATACAGCAGTTCTTGGACAGATGGAATTTCAGTAGGAGTGATCACAGTGTTCAAAGACAAAAAACTGCCAAACAGAGCATGTGTGCACAGCATTTCTAATGCTGTACTTCAGACTGGATATTTTATATTAAATCAGCAATTAAGGACTGATCCCCCCGGTTGTTAATATTAAAAGCAGGCAGTTCTGTGCTTGGGTATGTCAGACTTCCATAGAGTAACTTCCCAAACCTAGAATCATCCGTTCAGTTACTGGGCTACTCCAGCAGAGAGCTTTTCATTACCATAAATTCAGGTGTAGCATTACTTTGCTGCATCATGCTCTAGGGTGAGTATTTCCTTAAGAGGAAGCAGATGTCAGCTCTATTAGCAGACTCCCTATCCTAACACCAGCATCACTACAGCCTCAGAAGTATCTGATGTCTGCAGAAATACATCACCGCACCTCAGTAAGAATGATTAGTATTGCCAAGTAACTCTCCCAAACAGTTTGACATTATTTATGATTTAAGCACATAAATAATAAGTCAAGATTCACTGCACACATAATTCAGTTTTGCCCGCAACCATGCCAGGTTATTTGATGGAGTTACTGTATGGTTATGTGGTTCAGCCCTCAAATTCCACTGTATCCAGTCAGAAAAAGTTGACATCACTAGTGACACGTGGCTGCACAACACAACTAAGAGCAGTAAACCACTGGCTGAAACCTCAGGCTGGAGAGGTTTTTTTACTTCCTGCCACATGCTGCCAGTGCCTCTCCACTAAAGCAATTTAAATTTGCATCAAGTGCTTAAAATAGGTACTGCTCTACCTTCCTCACCCTCTGGTGAGATAATTCCATAAAAGATTAGAAAAATGTATTTTTCCTCTTGCAACATTGCCCACAAAAATTACTTGGGATTAATTCTTACTGGGATTTTTCTCATCTCTGATTTCCACCTAATTTATGTATGTAAGTGTATATATGTATGCGTAAATACACAATATTACACAAGGCCAAGTCAGTTGTCAGGTAATTTATCCTTTTGTGGATGGCTGTTGACACCTGCAGCACTGTAGTAATTATCTGCAGTAATTAGCTGCTACCAACAGCTAAACTTCCCTTACTTGAGTTTCTTGCTAATTTTGGTGAACTCCACCAGCCCAGCTTCCATGGGTAAAGTCAGCTGTCCTGCTGAAATCATCAGTCTGCAATCTTCAAAAGTGTGATCAGTGACTGGCACATTCAAAGCACTGAAACAAAATTAAGGAAAAAGAAAAATCAATTTCTTACATGAAGATAACTTTTTGTCGACTGTTTCCCTTCTTTAACATGCAGAACAAATGATAATTCATTCTTGCACTGCTGCAAGTAGGACAAAGCAATACATCCTATTTTGTGTAACCGTGAAACCAAGTTATGGCAGTGTCATGATGTTTTATGATTTACAACCTTGTAAATGCAGCCCTGTAACCTTGGAGAACAAACCACCTACTTAGTCTTCCCAAGCAAAAAGAGAGAAATTTATTCCAGTTTTCTATGAATTGAACATACTCTGTTTCAATGTAAGACAACCTCCCTTATGCTCCATGTAAAAACAATCAGGTTGTTCTAGTATAGGAATTTGACACCTTTTAGTGAAAATCTAGAGCAATTCCTACATATAGTACCTGGGACTTGAGTAAATTTCACTTTATGGTTAGGATATATATGGAATTTCTGGATGTAAAGGAACAATTCTCAAAGATTTAACTGATGACTGCTTACGTTGCCATGGTTTGTCGGACTCTGTAGGCAAAAAGAATGGGATCGTTCTTTTCCTCCTCAGTAGGAACGTGAACAGGCAGAAACTGAAAGGGATGAGTTATCCAATCAATTCAACAGTCCCCACTTTATTAGCAACATGAATAATTTCTTATTATTGTTTGATGGGGGAAAAACAGGAGAAAAAAAATTAGCCATGCAATGAACGAACTGGGCACTAGAGGTCTCAGCTGCCTTAGGAACAGCTCTGGCTCTTCCACTCTCACCACACAAATGAGATTTAGTCCAAAACTACCTCTTAAGTATTGGTAGGAGCTTCTTAAATATGAAAAATCAACCCCCCAAGGAAATAAAGTATAATAAATGCATACTTTGTTAGAAGACTAAATGAAGCACTGGTAAGAATGTGAGTTTGAATTACTACTACTCCTTTTCAAAGATCCTTTGTAAGTGATATTATATTGCAGAGTTACATACACTGCAATACTGTATGTAAGAGTTTTAATGTTTTTAAATACACACTGCAGTCCCACCTCGTACCTGTTAATTGTATCTGTCAGCGTGTGACTGATAAATTTCCTGCACATTTTTCCTCCATGACAAAACCGTTAAGGAATCACAGTTCTGAGTTGCAAGGAGTACATTAAATGGATATAATACTGTAAAATTTCGGAACTCCAAACAGAGAGTATAAAATCCCAACCACCTTCTCTCCTCCTACACCTAGAAAACACCCCAGATATCTAAATGGCAATATGTTTACTGTTGAGGATTTATTCAATATTAATATGTAAGAAGTTCCTTTTCACTAAATTATCCTATAGAGGAACTGCTATCTATTGCAGTGTGAACCAGCATCTGTGTGCAAAGCAGTGTGTGTGGAGGAGTATTTTGGTCTTTCTACTTCAGTCTAAAGTGTTTGTTCACAGCTCTGTTTACTGTGCTTCTTCTCAGCTATGGTTATCATTTATCTGAGTTCTGCTGCTCCCCACCCTGCAGTCTTGCCCTGAATTCCTAGAATACAGCAATTTCAAAATTGATGTTGCTCATGATTCACTGGAAGACACAACTGCCAATTATGTGTCAATATGTTTCTTCAGTTATATTGCAGCTGCTTCTGATGCACTAATATAGTGGTAACTGTCCCATATAAATGCAGGCCATCCTGAACAGCCTTTTAATGTTTGTTTTTAAGGAATGCTTCCTCTTCCTGATTAAAACCAGTAAGTTTATGGAATTGGTTATCTGTCGAATAGCCATAACAATTTTCTGTTTATACTTAAAAGTTGTCTCCCCTGTAAGGAAAGCAGGGCTCCTGCTGTTCACATGAATGCTTGAGATTTCATTCCTTCTGCAAGCAGTTGCCAGCTCTGTTCAAGGTCTGACACAGGTCCCTGCTTATCACAATTCCCCTTCAGAAGTCACATAACTCTTAAATTGAGAAGGCACAGGCACAATGTACAGACACAAAAAACCCTGTCGTCACTGGGTGAGATAAAGTCATAACTCTAAGAAGTTTATGCAACTGTGGGTCATGGTCTTGAAAGTGGTCATTACATCACTTGAGGCTGAGGTCTTGCTCAGAGAGCAATGTAACTTTCTGGCAGGTTAAACACCACCTCCATCCCCTTCAGAAAACCCACCTACAATTATTCATAAAACCTGTTTGCCAGAAACCACAGCTGGGGAGGAAGAATTTTGTTTCTTGACATCCTGTGGTGGAATGATCTCACACACACACCCAGCTGCTTATCTGCTGAGGAGCAGTAAGTAAACCTTCCCTGTCAAATCGCAGTCCTGCAAGAAAAACTCTTCACAGCTCTTTCAGGAGCACAAATACTTCTCTGATCTGCTTTTGAACTAGTCTCTCTTGTTATAGAATTTGCTAAATGCTGTATCTTCTGCAGACCTAAAACTCATTGCCAGGTTCACTGCTTAATTTTCAATATCTACAGTTTGTTAGTTTGACTAAACATGCAAACACATACACCCCTGGACTGCAGGAGTCCATCACTGCTCATGCACAGCAGGTAGAGGCAGTGCAAGACTGCTGGGAGTGGAGAAGCTACTTCCTCACAGCATGGGACAGCAACAGAAATGTCCACT